AATGTGGTCTGAGGCCCCTCTCCTGCTGGTCATGAAACTCAAGCACTGAAATCACTAAAAATATTATAAATTAAAATGAAGATCCCTGAAGTCCCCCAAAGCTGGCTTAAACTACCAAGAAAGTGGAATTGCTAATCCTGCCATAAACAGTAGGAACTTAGACTTCAACAATTTACTAACAAACTAATGAATAAACAACAAAACAGGAATGCCTATTTTTTAACTCGAATGCTCAGGACTCTAGAAAGACTCTAGATAGCGTTGAAGCCTTCTCTCCAGCTGTGGCCCTGCACTTTCTTGGTGACTATAGTAAGGTTGTTCTCCTAACCTGAAGATACTTGATTTCAGTATCCACATGGAACACCATCCAGTACCTCAGCCACCCTTTCCCTTGGTCTCCTCATCTTTTGAGATGTTCTCCATCCTCAGGGAGCCCCCGACTCCCACCTGCACTCTCAAAGCTATCCCTGGGGCCGTGTCATCTCTAAATGTTAAACAACAGGTTAATGCTCTTACCTTGGCCACGTCTGCTCCTTGTTGCAGTGCATGGTCTCTGGAGCACAGTCAAGGGTGACTCCTGAGCAGAAGTCAGTACTGGGCCTCAGCACTGCAGAGTTGGCTCCAGTTTCCATGGCACCAGCTCCTTGAACCCTTCACTGAACTACTGGCTTGGTTGGCCAAGAATCATAGGTGTGTCGCAGGACCTCTTGACCATTGCTTGAGATAAAGGGTCTCCCCTCAAAAAAATGTGTGGGGAGGAGTAGAAGGGGAGGAGGAGCAGGAGAAGAAGAAAGAAGATTGTTGCAGGTACCAACAATTTTGAATACTATATTACAAAACTATAGGAATCAAAAGGGTCTGAACAAAGGCACATTATTGTATATTTGTACTTAATGTACCAAATAATATGGCATTAAAAAATAAACTAGAAACACAAGGTCAGGGAGATAGCACAGGGGTTAGGGCACATCTTTTACGTACATAGTTTGGTCCCAATGTCACCTGTGCATCCCCATCTCCCACTACCACCATGCCTGCATCACCAGGTATAGTCCTGAAGGCTCTCTGAGCACCATCATATCTGGTGCTGGTGGTTGGTCCCCAATACTGCAGGGCACAGGCACAAGTGGGCATCCTTGAGCTTGTGCACTGAACCAGCAACCCAGTTAGTTAAGTATCACTAGGAGTGTATTGGGCTCCCTGAGCATTGCTTGGGAGACTGGAAAAGAAAGAGGGATAAGCAGACACATTAGGGCCAGTGACGTGGCTTGGTGGAACAGTGCTGCCTTGCACATATGAGCCCCTAGCTTCTCTCCCTAACACTTACAAACAAAAAGAAGACCCAGAGACAAATGGAACAATAGTCTAGAAAAAAATCCAACCCACTCCTATACTGATAAACTAATATCTGAAAAGAAGCCCAGGATACATACAATAGAAAAAGAGCAGTCTTTTTACTAAACGGTATGGGGGAAATAGGGAAATAGGGTATTCATATGCCAAAGTATGGAACTGGAGTCTCACACTACTCAAAAAAAAAGAAAAAAGATGAAATGGATTAACCAGTTAACATAAGACTCAAATCTGTAAACTCCAGAGACAGACTTCAGTGACTTTTTTCTTTTTTGGATATGACACTGATAGCATAAGCAATAGAAGCAAAACTAAACAGTGGGACTGCATCAAAACTTGCACACAGCGGAGGCTGAGAGATAGGACAACAGGTAGGGCATTGACCTTGCATGCTGTCAACCCAGGTTCAATCCCCGCATCCCATATGGGCCTCCCAAATACTGCCAGGAGTAATCCCTGAGCATCCCCAGGTGTGGCCCCAAAACAAAACAAAACAAGAAACAAAACTTTTTTTTAAATTTTTTAATTTTTTTATTAGTGAAACACCATGAGGTACAGTTGTAGATTTACAATTTTTTGTGCTTGGGTTTCGATTATACAATGATCAGATACCCATCCCTCCACCAGTGCCCATTTTCCACCACCATGGATAATATCCCTCCCACCCCCATCCCCCCATCCCCCCCTGCCTCTGTGGCAGGGCAATCCCCTGTGTTCTCTCTCTCCTTTTGGGTGTTGTGGTCTGCAAAAGAGGCGTTGAGTGGCAAACATGTTCAGTCCATAGTCTACTTTCGACATGCATATCCCCTCCTGGGAGGATCCTCCAAACACCCTTTATTTGGTGTTCCCTTCTCTATCTGAGCTGCCCTTTCCTCTAGAATGCTCGGCTGGCCACTAAGCTATGGAGTAATCCTCCTGATGCTGATCTCAGCTATTCTTGGGTATTAATCTCATATTTAAGAAACAAAACTTTTGTACAGCAAAGGAAACCACCACTAAGATAAAAAGACAATGGGAGAAAATATTTGCAAAACAGCCATCTGATCAAGGGTTAATATCCAAAATAGATAAAGAACTCAACACAATATCGAGAAAACAAAGAATCTGATTTCAAAAAAGGGGCAGAAGATCTAAATAAACAACATTTCTCCCCAAGAGGACATCCTAATGGTCAACAGGTACCTGAAAAGATACTCAACACCACCCACCAATAGGGAAATGAAAATCAAAACCACAATGAGGGAGGTGTCACCTCTCACCTATTAGATGGGCTGTTATCCAAAGGGATTAGCTACTACCCAAAAGATAAGAGGGAGTGTTGTCAAGGATGAAGAGAAAAGGGAACTGTTGATGGAGTGTGAATTAGGGGGCCACTAAGGAAACTATATGGATTTCCTGAAGAAATAAAAATTAGAAAAAATAAAAGGAAATAAAAATTAGAACTCTTGAGGGCTAGAGTGATATTACAGCAGGTAGAACACTTGCCTTGCAAGCAGCCAACCTGGGTTCTATCCCTGGCATCCCATATGAACCTTCAAACTCTGCCAGGAGTGTTTCCTGAGCACTGAACCAGGAGTCAGCCCTAAGCATCACTGCATGTGACATCCCCACCCCGGAAAAAAAAACCCCACAATTGCTTTATTATTCAGCAATTCCTCTTCTAGGTATTTCTCCTAAGGAAATGAAGTCATCATTTCAAAGAGAACTACACTGGCATGCCCATTGCAAGGTTTTGGGGTTTTTTAGATTTTTTTTTTTGAGGGGAAGGGTTTGGGCCATATTCAGCAGTGCTCAGAGACTATTCCTGGCTTTGTGCTCAGAGGTGACCCCTGGCAGTGCTTAGGGGACCATATGCATTGCTGGGAATTGGACCAGGGTGGAAGCTGATTCAGTTGCATGCCAAGCAAGTACATTACCTCCTGTACTATCTCTCCCACACCCATTACAGTGTTCTTTATCATAGTCAAGACAGAGAAACTTAAGTGTCCATCAGTTCCTGGGTAAAGAAAGCATCTGCCTGTCTGCTTGCCTGCTGTCTGTCTGTCTGTCTGTCTCTCTCTCTCTCTCTCTCTCACACACACACACATATAGAGGAATATTATTTAGCCACAAAAAATGAAAATTTGGGTGGGGAGAAGCTTCATATAGCTGGATTGTGGTGGCATTATTGTAAGTAAATTATTATCACTGTCACTGTCCTCCCATTGTTCATCTATTTGCTTGAGCAGGCCCAGTAACATTGTGAGACTTGTTTGTCATACTGTGTTTGGCATATCAAACATGTCACGGGTAGCATGCCAGGCTTTGCCGTGAGAGCGAGATACTTTCAGTAGCTTACCAGGCTCTCCAAGAGGGGCAGAGGATTTTAAGTAAATAAGTCAGAAAAAAAGACTTTAGATATTGTACGAGTGCATGAGGAATCGAAGTAATCTGAACTCACAGAAATATAAAAGGATGCTGGCTGGCTTCTAGGGGCTGGGAGTATTGGGAATTATCAGTTAAAAGGTATAGACTTCTAGCTATGGGACACATTAGATCTGGGATTCTAATGTATAGCAAGAGGCATATTAGATAGGATTCCTTGGGTGAATATAATAACAATAATGGGCTAGATACTTGAAAAGTTAAGAGAATGGATCATAAATGTTTTCAAAACAAGAAAGAGAAAGAAATAGAGAGAAAGAAAGAAAAGAAAAGAAAAGAAAAGAAAAGAAAAGAAAAGAAAAGAAAGAACAGCAAAAAAGGTGCTTGCCTTGCATGCAAAATGATTCGGGTTTAATTCCTGGCCAGTAGTGATCTATGAGTGCAGAGCCAGGAATAAGTCCTGAGCACTACACAGGGTAGACCCAAAAATAAAAAATAGAAAAAACAATTTGATGGAGGTATTAAACTAACCCTACTATGGTCATTATTTTACAAAGTATATGTGCATCTAATCACTGTTTATAAACCTTAAACTTTTATATAATTTTCTTTTTTTTTTCAGGTTTCAGAGGGAGCTTTAAGGGGGTGTTTGTTCAAGTGGCCATTTCCAGCCTGACTGAGCGCTCGGCCAGACACAGTATTGGGACGGAGGTGCGTGGACAACCATGTTCTTAACTGTCTTGAATTTGCCGTTGACGTAAGGGACCCACTCGAGAGTCAGACGCCAATCGGTGGTCCACACCAGCCCCATGGCACTCAAGGCGCCCCACATCCCCGGTAGCCAGTTGGGCATACCGCGACCCCCCAAACCGGGTGAACATCGCGGCGTCCATCCGCAGCTCAGGCTGACCCGGGCTGGCCGGACTGTGCAGGTGCACAGGACACAGCCTTATCTATAATTTTAGGGACTGGAAAAAGAGCACAGCAGGTAGAGTGCTTGACTTGACCTGGTTTTGATTCTCGGCATCTCACATGGTCCCCCACGGCTGTGAGGAGTCTGCCAGGAACCCAGCCCTGAGCACAGAGCCAGGAGTAACCCCTGAGCACTGCCGGGTGTAGCCCCCTCCCCCAAAAAATGAAACAAAATTTAGATGTAAAACTTTACATGTTCACTTATATATTACTTACCTACTTCAATATCTCAATAAAGCTAGAAAAGTGGGGGAAAGCCATATGGATCCTCTAAGGTACAGCTAACAGATTGCTCATCCTTTCAAAAGCTCATGACGACACTTCCCTGCCTTTGTAACTCTTTGCTTCACTTCTCCTGCCCAGTAGAAAACTTCCTGGGTGCAGAATGGTAGTGCTCTGAAAGAAAGTGAAGAAGGAAGAATCTCAGGCATCTGTATATGTGTATCAGAAAAGGAGTCCCAGGTCTGACATGATAACACATGCCTCCCCAAAGCATCACTGCGTGGATATAGTCCTCCTGACCCCCAAGTACCACTATGGTGCCTCTCGTGGTCCCCAGCATTGAAGGGTCCAAGCATCCTTGGACCCTTGCACTGAATCTCCAGCCCACTGGCCGAGAATCACCAGGAGTGTTCCCTAGACCCCAAGGACCACTTCGCCCCCAAAGAGAGATGGGCCAGTGAGATAACACAGCAGGTAAAACAGTTGCTTGCGTGTGCCTGTCCTAAGTTTGATCCCCAGCACCCCATATGGCTCCCAAGCCCCAAGCCCCACCAGAAGTGACCCTTGAGAGCAGTGCAAATAGCAAGCCCAACACTGCTACCAGGTATGACCCCAAAACAGAAAAAAAGAGGTGAGGAGAGTGGAGGGGAGTAGATGGTAAGGGAGGGAAAGTGAAGAAAAAGTGAGAGCTTGACATGGGATTAATTGGAACATTAGCCAGTGGCTTTTGGGTGGGGGGTGGGGGGAGGGGGAGGAAGGGGGAAGAGAGGTACAGAGGATTGGGGCTACACCCAGAGGTGCTCAGGGCTTACTCCTGCTGTGCTCAGGTATCACTCTTGGAAGTGCTTAGGGGCCCATAAGGGATGCCAGGGGTGGAAATGGGAGCAATCCACGGCAAGGCAAACACCTCATTCCCGTATGGTCTCTCTGACACCGTAACAGTGGTTTCAACCTTTTCACACCTGCACACCAGCAAAGGAATGGGGTGGGGTTGAAAACCACTGAAAATGACAAAAAAGAAAATGCAAGTTGGTAGTGGCTTGTGACCTGGAGCTCTTGAATCCACCTTCACAGAGTGTTATTACTCTGGTTGCCATCCATCCATCCATCCCTCCCCAAATACTCGAGCAGCACGACACAGCTGCCAGGCACTGCTCTAGAGCACAGCGGGAAAGGCTGGCCAGGTCATGGGCTGCCCTCTTGGGTCTCAGGTTCTCGTGGGGGAAAGAGAGGAGCAAAGTCAAGCAAGAAACAAACATGGTTTCACTTCTTTAGATGCTGAGCCCTAAAAAGAAGAGAGTAAAGAAGGAAGATGAGGCAATGAGAGGCAAAGGAGGGGTTTTCCCGACTGTGTGAACTGGGAGGTTAACACTCAGCTAGAAACCAAGGATGCAAAAAGTCATCCCTATGGAACCGAGTTCTGGGCTTTCTTCTCATGATTACACGATGGATGCCATAGCACCAGCCATCACATCCTCACCTACCAGGTGTCCAAAGCAGGTCTGAGTTTATCTTTGGGAAGAATGTCCTTTCATCACAAAGAAAAATGTTTCCCACAAACCACAGCATGCTCCTCGTCATGTCCCCTGGCCAGAACTAGGTCACACCTATGCTCCAACCACTCCTTGGCAAGAGAGTCTTAAGACTGGTGGCCAGTAGCAAAGGTTCTTCAGCTGGGACCAGAGAAAGGGACAGGGGGTGTCCTTCCAGTTATACACTCTGCTCCTCCCCAACCCCCAGGGATGTGACCCAGCAGAAAGGCTCCTGCGCCATGGTGAGGAACACTGTCTGCGTGTCTGGGTCCTGGGAATATGACAAGGTGCCTGCCCTCCCTGTATTTCTGTTTCAGTCCCCGAGAAAGGATGAGTCGATCCTGAGACAGAATCTATAGGCTGGAGAGATGGTACAGGGGTTAAAGGCTCTTATCTTGCACATTGGCTGTCTCAGTCGTGCAGCTGGACTCTCATACAGTCCCCAGAGCACAGAGCCAGGAATAGATCGTAAGCATGACTGGTGTGATTTCCCCCCCTCCCCCCAAAGAATCAAGGATTGGCAGAGTTTAAGCACCGGTATGGTGAGAGCATCTGTAAGGACAGGGTTGGAGAGTTAATACAGCAGGCAGGGCACTTGCCCTATATATATGGCTGACCTCGGTTTGATCCCCAGTATCCCATATGGCCCCTGAACCCCACCAGGAGTAAGCCCTGAGCACTGTTGGGTGGCATCTCAAACCCTTGCCCTTAAAACCAGAGAAATGAAAAAAAAAAAAAAACAACCCAAAAGCAAAAGTGATACCCCACACCTCCAAAGGTGTCAAGAGGGAAGGTGATAAGAAAAGATGTATTAGAGAAAATACCCTTTCAGTGAAGTGGAGAAATGAAAGCAACTTGGGGCCATGAATGTGGAGCCCTGGGGAAGAAAAACTAGGGGGCCATGCAAAGGGTCAGGAGTGTGGAGAGAGAAGAGGAGAGGCCAGCAGGAGGGAGAGGGCAGGAAGGGAGGGACGAGTGTAAGGACAGGCAGGGAGACTACATACAGCGCTAAAATCCTGGACTGTGTCTGAGGGGACGCCATGGAAGGAAGGGACCAGCTCAGGTTGGCCCTGCGGAGAAGCATGTTCTTCACTTCCAGCAGGCCAGGTGTCTCGGTCTCTCTCTCTCTCTCTCTCTCTCCCTCTCTCTCTCTCTCACTGTGGTAATAGGCTGGAGCTGTGGAATGGCCCAGGACCTGGCAGAAGGGAGGAGATTTGGGGGTTTGGAGGGCGTGGTCAGGGGTTGGTCCCCTGCATCCAGGGCAACCACCAGCGATGGAGAGGGAGGAGAGGAGAACTTCAGGTCCGGCTGGTTTAGGCACCTGGACAAATGGCGGTGTCCTTCCCTGGGTGGGTTCCTTGAGGGGCAAGTTGTTGGAGCAGCCTCCCACAGGGCACTGAACAGTGTTTTCATTAATTAACCCATTTTAAGATTCTTCTCCCTCCCCCACCTTTCCTATCAAAACCACTCCCTGCTTCTCTTGGCTCACACTTTCCCTCACACAGACCTAGTTCTCTCTTCTCTTTTGGGGCCACACCCATGTGAACCATATTTCCCCCCACCTTCCCTCACCCCGTGGTTATGAGCTTCAAGTTTTCCTCATTCTTTGGGAGTCAAGTCTGTATTTTTGGAGCAACTAGGACCAGGAGACTGAGCACTGAAATACAAACAATTCCATCAGTCATCACTAAGCTTTAAGGAGGTCAGTGATCAATGAATTGCAAGTGGCAGTTGGCACACATTTAACTTGTTTCCCCCCCCCCCCCCCTTGCATGTGGTTTTTGTTTGTTTGGTGAGGGGAGGGCGGTTTAAACCTGACGATGCTCCTGTCCCTGAGCCCGGGAATCACTCCTGGGAATCACTCCTGGCGAGCTGGAGCTGGCGTGGAGGGAGAGGAAGGGGGAGGAGGGGACCTTATGGGATGCCAGGGAGGGTTGGCTGTGTGCAAGGCAAACGCCCAACCCGCTGTACTATCACTCCACCCCACATGTGGCTTTTAGGCATAAAAAAACCCACCTTTTATATGTAATCGCAGGGGACAGCATCGTTGGCACAAGAACTGGTGTCCATCTGGGTGTGTTGCTTTTTTTTTTCCTACTATGGGCGTGTCTTTTTTTTTTTTTTACAACATACAACTTCACTGCTTGGGGTTACGCTGCACTAATTTTCTAATGCCCTGAGCTTCGTGACAGATCTGGGAATACACGCTATCGCTGCGTTTGAAGTTGGACCTTGCCCGCATGAAGCATCGAAGTGAAGCGAGAACGGTGAACTGAAAAGGGCTCGTAAAAACATTCTGGAGCAGGACCAAGCCCGCGACTGGAGAAGCCTGTGCGTTTTGTATGGGTGTGTGTAAAAAAATAAATAAATAAAACTGCGGAAACAACTGAACCAATTTCTTCTCGATTCTCTTTATTGCGCTCCTGATGACCTTAGCACTGTTTTAAAAGAAACTCGGGACGCGTTCGTACCCGGGGACCGCGCTGTCGCCGCTGCTGCCCGGGCCAGCGCGTTTCCGCCGCCGGTGTCGCGGCGCGGCGCGGTGCAGGCCACGCAGCACGCTGGCGCTCGGCGGCGCCGGGGAAGCGACACGAAATGCAAAGGTCACCGGGCCAACGGAGCCCTCCTCGGCTTGCCCCGACTTCTCCCACCCACCCGGGAGGAAGGGATCGACCCCGAGTTTGCCAAGTTTGCAGCGCGGCTGGGCTGAGCCGCGGGCGCGCGGGGGGGGTGGGGTGGGGTGGGGTGTGGGGTGTGGGTTGTCCCCACCGCCTTTTTAATTTTTTTCCCCCCTCCGGGGGCAGGCCGGGCCCGTGGGAAGTTTGCTTTGGGGGTGGGGTGGGCGGCAGCGTCCTCTGGCCTTCCAACTGCAAAGTCTGGCGTGGCCAGCGGGGACGTTTCCCTAGCCCACCCCCGCCCCTCGGTCAGCCGGGCCAGGAGGTGGACCCGGCGCCCTGGGGCACAAAGAAAGAGCGCGCTGCAAACAGGATGTCGAATGACCTTGGAAACTCGGGACCCTGGGCGGGTGGGAGCCCTCCCCGCCGCCCTCCCCTCTGCCCTCCGCGTGCACCCCGCGCGCGCCGCTCCTGCGCGCCCGCCCCCGCCCACCCCCGCGCTGCCTTCCCCCGCCCCCCTTTTCTTTTTCGGCGTTTTCTTTAAGAGACTTGGCCGCGCCGGGCCCAGCAGGGGCCGCGGGGGCCCGGCCCGGCCCGGCCCAGCCCAGCCCCGCTGCGCCGCGCCCGGGCCCGCCCTTCCCGCCCGGGCCGGCCCCCGCCCCCCGCCCCCCGCCCCGGCGCGCCCGGCTGTGTGTTTTGGAAGCGGCGCGGCGGGCCGCGGCCCCGGTGACGCCCGGAGGGGGCAGCGCCGCCCTTCCTTCCCCCCCGGGCTGGGGCGGAGGGCGCGGGCGGGCGGGGCGGCGCGCACGCCCAGCCCCACGGGCCTCGCCAGCGCCTCGCGGGACAGGTCGGGCCGGCGGGGCGGCGCCCGGCTCCGGGGAATAATGAGTGTCTGTCAGGCCGGCCCCGGTGCCGGGCGGGGCGCGCGGGGGCGGCGCGGGAGGCGGGGGCGGCGGGGGAAGGGCGCAGGGCGGGGTGCGTGTTTGCGCCAGTGACTCGGCCCGACCCCTCCGGCGGCTGCCTCCACCCAAGTGGGTGGGGACCCCGCCCAGCCCGGGCGGCCGCCGCGGCTCCCCTCTCCCCTCCCTGACCCTCCCACCCCGGGTCCCAGCCTCTACTTACCCCGCCAGCCCCGGGAGGCTTCGCAGAGCGCGAGCGGCGCCGGCGTCATGTGACTGCCCGGAGTTAGTGCCAAGGAGCCAGAGGGGAGCCAGGAGCCGCGCCGGGGCCCCGCGGAGCCGGAGCGCCAGGGAGCGCCCGCCCGAGCCGCCGCCGCCGGAGCCGCCGCCGCTGCCGCTGACACCGCGGCCTGCAGCGCCCAGCCCGCGCCCCCAAAGTAAGTCCCCTCGCCCGCGCCCCCCGCGCGCGCGCGCGCCCGCCCGCGCCCCCGCCCCGGCGGCCCGTCCTGGTCTCCCTTGGCCAACGTGGGGGCTGTGTGGGTGTGGGTGCGCAGTGGATGAGTTGGGGGTGCAGCACGGGGGGGGCTTGGGGGTCGCCTGCTGGGATTGGTAAGGTGCAACAGCTCCTGGCGGCGGGGGGGGGGGGGCGGAGAGGGAGGTGGCAGGAGGTGCTCACCCCCCCCAAGCCCCCCGGGGTTCAGCGGCTGGAAAAGTGTGAGGTTCGGGGAAGCACTGTACGGATCCGGCGTGGGGGGTGGGGGCGGGGGTGCGAGGCCGGCGGCGCCCCCCCTTCACCCCGCGACCCCAGCCAGGCTGCGGGCGGGGGGCTCACCTGTGTGGTCCCCCGGCCTCCGCCCGCCCGCCCGCGATTCCCTCCAAAGCCCCAGAAATCTCTGGTGCTCTCCGCGTGTGGCAAACGTTGTTTGGAGAAAAGGTAGCGCGGAGGCCGCGCGCTCCAGCTCCTCCCCCTTGCAGGCCCCCCAGCTCCCCGCCCTCCTCGCCCGCGCCCCCCGGCCGCCCCCCTCGGACGGGGCGCGCAGCCGCTCACCCGCCGCCGCCGCCACCGCCGCCGCCGCCGGAGCAAACTTGGAGCAGCTCCTCTCCCCGGCCCTCTTGGGAAGAAAAACTCGGGGCGCTGGGGGGGCTGGAGGCCACATCCCATTGTGGGCCCTGGAAGCCCGGGAGCCGGCCGGGGCGCCTGCATCCTCGGGGGCAGGACGAGGGAGCGGGCCGGGTGGGAGGGCCGCCCTCCCCGGGGCACGGAGAGAACCTGCCGCAGTGTCTGGATTGCAGCCTGGCTGGGAGGCGGAGAGCGCCCTAGGCGATGCCTGCAGCGTTAGGGACCGGAGCCGGATGGGGACCGAGGGGCAGATCCCGCACCCTGGGGACGGACTTACCTAACATTTCCAGAGTGGCTTTCTTGGAGATGGCAGATAATGCCAGGAACTGCCCTGTTCCTTTGGCAGATAACAGAAGAACGCCGTTTCCCCCACCCGCCTTTGACTCTTACAATGTGCAATAATCCCCGATGAACCTGTATTGAATGAGACTTGTCTTGGGAAAAAAAAGTCAGGCGAAACGGAAATTGAACATAATGCTCACCTGCTTGTATATCTCTAAAAATAAACACTTTACACTGGATTTTTTGACCAACTCAATGTGGGTTGTTTTTGTTTTGTTTTTTGATTAGTATCATCTGAGGCACTGTAAATAGATTGATTTTTATTCTCAGGAGTGTGGGATATGGGGAAAATATGAAGTATTCTGATTCATTTAGGTTTAGGATCTTATTTGTGAAGCAAGATCAAGATCAAGAAGACAGTTGCTCGTTACAGGGTTTTCCACAGAGCAATTTTGTGCTGTCCTTTTCTGAGTGTTTTTATCTTTTAAGGAGCATTTTTATGAGGGAAATCCATCTGGATGATAATCTGCCTAACCCGAGGGAAGACTTGCTTTTGGGGAGGTGGGGACCAATGATTGCAGGCATATCTTCCCAATTTTGCAAGTTAGTGGTATTTTTAAATTTTTTCTTAAGGAGTGGACAAATGAGTTATTTCTGGCTTCCAGAATGGAGCATATTCCTTGACAGGCTGTTAACAGAAACCTGAAATGAGATGTTTGATTAATTTAAAATCCTTAGAGAAACTGATATATCAATTTCTACAGTTCAGTGGGGTTGACTGCAGATGCAGCATTAGAAGAAAAAAAAACTAATGTATGACTGATGAGTTCAAGAGAGATATTCTTAAGAACATTGGGTTTGCATGAAGAATGTAAGTGTAAATATCCTAATGCAAGAATAACAAAAGTAGCTACTTTGACCACAGAAACTTGTCAGCTACAAAACATAGCAACATAGCTTTGGAGAAAGCTATTGTTTTTCTGCTTTTATTTTTTCCCCCAATGCAAATTTCTAAATTAAAACCCAGTCTTCTGGTTGCTATGGGCACAGTGATGCTTCCGCCCCCCCCCCAAATCTGTAGTTATGTCTACACAATTTTTAAAATCTCTGATGATGGATACCTGAGTTAGACAATCCTGGCTAACGAAATAAAGAGCAGTGTGGGAAATGCACAAAGAATTTCATGCGTAAAGATATAAGAAAACATTTTAGGATAACTTGTATTCTACAGATGGTATCGCAGTTTTGGAATAGATGAAATGAATGTCAGGAAGAGAAACGCCTTCTCCAAAGGTGCATTTCTGCAGATGTGCAACTGTGCGCAACTGCTCATAACCAAGCAGTTGGAAAAAAATCAGCCAACATTGGAAGCGACTAGATGTCCAGGACTGGGTGTAGAATTTAGTTGTGTGACAAGGGAATGCTGAAAATTGGTTCAGTTGGGGGATTAGGTAGAATTTGCCAAGAATTCTGAAAAGCGGTTCTCTAACCTTCATTTTCACTCCTGATACTCTGAGGCTGAACAGTAATCATTAGCCCCAGCCCAGAATTTGATGATGGTTAGAGACCAGCTTTTGGGATGGGGGGTGGGGGGGTGTCAGAGAGAGACAAAAGGAATGAGAGAGGGAAGCTGGTGTTCATTAGGAAGGGCTCAGCTGCTCGAATATGATAAAATCCCATGTTCACTTAAGATGTTTACTGTGTGTGGAAGCTCCTATTTGTAAATAGGGCAGATCCCCTGTTTGAAAGCTGGTGTTATTATTCACACCCATAGAACAAACACCTCCACCCCCCTGTTGTTGTCTTAAAAAACTCCAGCTGCTCATGAATATAGGGTCAGGGAGGGCCGCCTAAATGTTTCTCTGTGCTTTCTCTCCAGCTCAGCCAGCAGAGCTGTTTCCTGTTCTTTGTTTCAAGGCTGGGGTTTGCGTCATACATTCCAAGTGGCATATGTGTGCTCTTTCCTGTTGCAGGCTGTTTGCTGGTAGATCAGTAGCCCAGACCAGGCCGTGGTCCCTGCCCCTACACTCCTGTTCTCCACCCAGGGGGAGTGATCATGTCTCTACACACTTACGATTGCCTAAGATGTCAGGGTTATGTCATAACGAGAAGTCAGTTAACCTTTTTACATGCACCCTTTGCTCCAGTGTGTGTATATGGGTGAATAAATACTTTTGCCTTTGGATAATTGTTCACTGCCAAAGGGTGATTTTGCAGGAAGGTGGGGGGTTGCCTATTGGCCGAAGCGGAGGTTGTAGATTTTGGGTGATGCTTGTTGGAGGGCAGGTGGGTATTCACTCAGGGATAGGCGTTTGGCCCTGCTCCACCTTCCAGTGCCGAGGAGAGGAGGTGGCATTATCCGAATGCTCTGCCCCACCCCCACGCTCCTCCTTCCCATTTTACAGTGGCGGGAGTGGCCTCTGGGATGGGGAAGGAGCAACCTTGGCAGCTTGGGCTGACTTCAATCTTGCTCGTGTTTTTAAGGAAGAAATCTTTAGGAAAACTATTGAGGCAAAGCATAGGATAGATGGGGGGGAAATCCCAGGATTATTTCATTTCTAAGACAAAGATTTAAATATTAGGACAATTTGTTTTTGTTTCCTTTTTTTTTTTAAACTGCATTCTGTACCTAATTTCCAAACTTAAGAATGAAAGAACTGCAGACTCGTTCATTTAATGAAGCCTTGGGAATTTTAAAAGTCTTAGGCTTTTAACACAGAAGAATGCTCTGCCTATTATTTTACAGTAAGTGCTTAGAAATCACATTTTTTAAGAATATTTCATAGATTATTGGTCAGTGAGGTCTTTGAGGGTCTTCCCTTGCCCCTTGGTCCTTCAAGAACTAAAGTTTTAAAGAAATGGTTGGATAAGAAAAGATGGCACCTTTTTTTTTTTCTTAACTTTGTGATTTTCTTTACAATCTAATGGCATTGTCTCTGTTCTCAAGTGAAATGAAAAGAATTGCTGAGGCAGCAAATGGGCTCTGGTCCTTCCAAAAATTGATAATTCCCTGGTTTTAACTTCACTTCCCACCACATTCTTCATGGATAAAAGGGAAATAGACATTATGACATTAAGAAAAACACTAGGATCAAATGTCAGCTGCTGATTCTTGAAAAAGGAGGCGTTTGGGATAGTTTCAATCATATTTTCCCCCTTTAGAGGAAGCAAACTGGAATGTCAAGTTGACTTGCACCTGGGGCCTTGAAGCTAAAATGCATCAGTAATCGAAATGAAGCTTTTTTTGTTAACAACCCAGTGGCTCCCCCCCCCCATTTAGGGTGCAGGGGCACCCCAAATTAAACTGTTTCCTCCTGTTTGTGGGAAGAGGAAGAGAGGTGGTTAATAGAGAGACTGGGAGTTGCCCATAAGGAAAAAAAAACTTCCAGACTTTTAAAGGTTATGTTGAACAATTGGGGAAATTATACCAGCTGATAGTTACTATAATTACAAAAAAGATAAAAATGATGGCTTTACCCTACAAAAATCATTCCTAATTCAGTTCCACTTTCCCTCCACATTCCCATTAGATGCTTGCTTCTTTAATATTGCAGAAAAAAACACTTTATAAAAAATGAGAGGTATTCTTCCTCTCCCTCCAACCCCCCTTAAGGTGATCTAAAGCACTACCAGAAATAAATAGGCAGCTTCATTTTTGAAGTCCGGGGCCATCCCATTATTCTGGAGCTGGGGCTTCATTTCTCACTGGTTCTAACTTAAAACAGCCTTTGGAATCGTGAAACAGTTGCTCGCTGGGTTGCTGATGGGGATGGTATCCTAGTCCAAATTCATTGCAGAGGGAGTTGGAGAAGGATTGCGAGTGGTTTTCATTGCATTTTCAAGCCTGATGTGTGTGTCCCTTTTCGGAGACTGGTTTCTCATCTTAAAACAGTCGTGCCAGAGCTCGAGACAGGAAGCCAGACAGCAGTCTGCCCTGATAAGGGCGAGTATTGTCTAAGGGGGGTAGCCTGCTTCCCCTCCTCAGCGGAGTTCCCTGAAATGCAAGAGCAATAAAACGGGCATAGACAGTCATTTCTGACCCAGAACTCCGACTTCCTTTCCTTAAGAGTGAGAAATTGTGTGTTCACCGTTCCCTGAAACATATTACTGGTATAGTTTGTATCCAGGGTGGGAGTCTCCTAGTCAAGTCTCTTAGTCAAGTTCCTGGTGCTTTTGGAAATGCTACATTGTGTTGACTCGCCTAACACATTACTACCCCCTTCTCATGAATAGGGGAGCTGGCCAGCATGTGGGCAACTGCTGGCCTTTCAGTTCATGGGTTCTGTGGGTGCCAGGGCTTGCTCAGAACCCCCTCCCAGAAGGACCCTTTATGCGTGGGGGGCGGCAGCAGGAGAAGGGGCCCTGTCTCTAAGGGACGGGGAGGGTGGATGACCAGGGAGGACTTGGAGCTAGGCTGCACCCAGCGCAGTGCTGCAGGACCTGGTCTGAACCCCAGCAACCAAATGGCCACTGGTTTCCTTGCCTGCTCCCAACCCCAGAGAGTGACCTGTGAGCGCGGCTAGATCTCCCCTGCTTGCTACCCACAGTGCCTCTTCCGGGCTCCTCTCTGAAGTGCTCGCTCTTCTCTTTCTCACTTAACACCCTCTGCCATCCCAAGCCATGCCCGCCAAAGCTGCTCGCACACGGGAAGTTGTCCAGCTCCTACTGCGCTCTTAAGTCTACCTCCCCTCCCCCCCCAGAGTATGAGACCCCCAAGCTTGGCCAGCCGTTCTTCTTAGCATGGTCCTTTCTGATGTGGC